TTTTGTTTATTTATTTATTAAAGGTATACACAACAGGTTACAATCAATAACATTATAAACATTTATATAAAGATAATAGTATGAACTAGATTGAGACCCAGACAGGTGTACACACAGCATGGTTAAAGCAGTCGGCAAACAATGTTAAATTATAAAGTTATATATAAAGAAAGCGTATGAATGTGGTAAAAATCAGTGAAGTACACGCAAATAATAAAAATACATAAAGATATGGACATGTCGAAGAGACTTGATGGCTGATTGCAAAATGCTTTTGAAGGCGTTTAGACGTGAGTTGAAGATATCAATTTGGGGACATTTAGCTGAAAATTCATTAAAAGTACGACACATACGGATGAGCGGGTTGTAATACGATGTATTGTTTTTATAAACGCAGAGTGCAAATGTTGGTAAATTGGTACTTGTTTGCCAAGCATATAATGCTAAGCGGTTATCGTAGCCTATGAACGCCTGCAATATCTACAATTGGCGACCCTGAAGAAACCTCTTTACCCCTAGCCGACGTACTCCAAAATGATACCACTTTTATAGTTCCACTAGTGTTTTTTATATTTATTTACATAACAAAATTATAGTTAGACATTACATGAAGAGATACAAGAATGGTATGCCAAAATTCAAATCATTCTTTTTCTTTTTTTAAATATACTATTATATAGCTTCTTTCCAGCCATGACCAACTCCCCTTTTGAAGGAGGAAAAGGATTGTTAGCAATGGAGTTTGACAGCCCCATTGCTAGCAATATACCTTATTAGGTCGACCTTCACGTGGTTCCCCCTGGAAACCATCGTGAACAATTCTTGTTGAATTCGTCACGATGGGCTAACTGACCTACTTCATCCTTACCTATTATCCTGCACTGGTACCCTGCCGGTGTTTACCGATAGCGCGGGTGGGGTTACCATTCCATTATCATCCATTAAAAAAAAACCCTTTTGAAGAACCCTACGCTGTAGTCTCTTGGGAAAACCCCGGCAGGGAGCTCATTCCATAACCTGAGTGTTCGTGGGAAAAAACATCCCTGAAACCGTGACCATTTAGGCTGTAGGGTATGAGGGTGAACTTCTTGTCGATGGCGAGCCGTACGATGGTAGAAAGTGGCTGTGGGCATCATATTGAACAATTCCTCTGAGCACAATCCGTTGTATGTACAAGCGGTAGAACATGCAGGGTGAGGCAAAATCTCTCCTAAGACTTGAGGGTTCGATACTGCTTGTGAGCCTGGGATCATCGACAATTCTCATAGCTCGTTGCACCGAGTCGAAGGGTTCAAGCTGGTATCTAGGTGCTCCCGCCCATAAGTGACAGCAATACTCCATATGGGGCCGGATTTGCGATTTGTAGAGAATTAATCGCTGATCCGGCGTGAAGTAATGCAAATGCTTCGCTCTATTGAGCACACCGAGTTTTTTGGATATATGATTGTACTGAGTTAAGTAATCAACTATATTATATTATCAAGCACCTAACAGATCATCCCTGAAGCGATTGTATATCTTGTTAGGCATACAATCGCTCCAGAGTGGGGGAAAAGGGATTGTTAGTAATGGAAACTGAGAATTCCATTGCTAGCAATATACCCAACCAGGTCGACCTCCTCGCGGTTCCATCTGGAAACTATCATTGTTATTTCCTGATGAATTCATCATGATGGGCTAACTGGTCTGTTTTCATTCTCATCGACCACCCATTTTCACCCATCAAAAACAAAATCGCTTTAGAGTTTTGGATGGAGACTCTATATATATATATATATATATATATATATATATATATATATATATATATATATATATATATATATATATATATATATATAATCTAAGAAACTGAAGTTAATTTTAATTTCGCGTTGTTTACACATGTTTTAAATACGGTAGTAAAAAAGCAGTTATATGCTAGGTATAAGCAAGCCACTAAGTCTAGCTTCAAAATTAATTTTAAAAAATTCTTAATTGAGAGGCATAAGTTAGATTTTTTTTATATAACTTAGAATGGCAAACAAGCTGACGGCCCACCTGATGGAAAGTGGTAACCGTCGCCTACAGACATGAGCAGTATCATGGACATAACAGAATATACTGTTTCGCCCATGATACCCCCCATGCGTTGCCATTCCTGAGGACCCAAGTGTTATTCCTCTGTACCCAGTAAATTCACTGCCATATCGCACCCTTCAAACCGAAACACAGCCATGCAAACACAACTGCTTCACGGTAGAAACACGAAAGGGACAGAGGTATTCAAGCAAACGACTTTTTTAATCTATTATTTAAGGGACTTTCAGAATGTATAATAGATTTATATGACATAAATAATTAAAAATGTCTTTAATAGTATAAAATATAACTTGTTAACTTGTTTTCTTGTATTATTTTTTTATTCACTAACTGAACTTTCTCGTACCGTTTGAGTGAAGCAAATGACGCCATAAAGATACTGTTTACAATACCCCGCCTTTTGTATGTATATATTGCCAATTTTGTGCCAAAATTTTTATTGCTTGAAATGATAGGCAGCTCACCTGATGAAAAGTGTATTAAAAATAATAAATGCAAAATAATATACAACTATTCTGGCTACATATATATATATATATATATATATATATATATATATATATATATATATATATATATATATATATATATATATATATATATATATATATATACTGGTACATAAAATCTTTTTTTTAACTTTTGGATTATTTCAAATTTGGAACACGTTTATTATTTTAAAAACTTCTTTCGACTTCGACTGCGGTTGCCAATTCGCCTGCCAAGCGTTTGCCACGCTACTGGCAAACCCCCCCCCCAAGGGTAAGCAAACCCTGCTTTTTGTTCAGCAGTGGATAGTTAAAGGCAGATATGCTGGTGATAATACAAACCCTGTAGACCAGGGGAAAGGGATTGTTAGTAATGGAGACTGAATATCCCATCGCTAGCAATATACCCAGCCAGGTCGATCTCCTCGTAATTCCCCCTGGAAACTATCATGGTTAATTCCCGATGAATTCATCATGATGGGCTAACTGGCCTGTTTTCATTCTTACCTATCACCCTTCACTGGTGCTCCGCCAGCGTATCCCGTTAGCGCAGGCGGGGTTACTATACCATTTTTTTTTATACAACTTAAAATGGCAAACATGCTGACCTGGTGGAAAGTGGTAACCGTAATAAACATGAGCAGTACCATGAACATAACAGAGTATACAGTTTCGCCCATGATACCCCCAGTGCGTTGCCATTCCTAAGTACTCAGGTGTCATTCCTCTGTACCCTGTAAATTCACGCCATATCCCACCCTTTAAACCGAAACACAGCCATGCAAACACAACTGCTTCACGGTTGAAACACGAATGGGACAGAGGTACCCAAGCAATCTACTTTTATACAAAGTCTCCCTCTAGTAAAATTAATATCACATAATTGTTTTTCTTTTAATTTGATATTACTGTTAGAGTTGCAGCGGGATACGTACCTTGTTAGGAGCAGATATACATGGAAAGATGACCAGCGTGAAAGCAGTAGTAGCACTAAGTAGTATTGTACGCAATAGATTTAGTTCTTAGTCCAAGTAACTTGACAGTTTATTTGTAATAAACACAGCACATGCTAAATACACGAAACTGTATTGTACCATTATATTAAAATATTGTTTAATTTGTAAAGACAATTTTAAACAAAAGTCAATTTACAGAACACGTCAAATATTAAGGTTACTAGGCAATCATATTTTTCTTTTTCTATTTTCATATTTCACTGAAGAGTTTATTAATACCTAGTTTTTTTTTGATGGGTGAAAATGGTAACGGTAACTCCGCCTGCGCTAACGGGATACGCTGGCGGAGCACCAGTGAAGGGTGATAGATGAGAATGAAAACAGGCCAGTTAGCACATCATGATGAATTCATCAGGAATTAACCATGATAGTTTCCAGGGGAAACCGCGAGGAGGTCGAGCTGGTTGGGTATATTGCTAGCAATGTGATTCTCAGTCTCCATTACTAACAATCCCTTTCCCCCCCATGATTGGAGGTTGAAACCTTGAACCTAATGTTAGATCAATTAGGTCACGTCACAAATAATACTATGCCACATTTTTCCAAAGGAACAGCACTGGACTCGACTGAAGGTGAATTTTACACGCTGTATTGCAATTAGAGGCAACTAATAGAACCTTTACTATTTTTTTTTATACAACTTAGAATGGCAAACAAGCTGACGGTCCACCTGATGGAAAGTGGTAACCGTCGCCTATAGACATGAGCAGTACCGTGGACATAACAGAGTATACTGTTTCGCCCATGATACCCCCCATGCGTTGCCATTCCTGAGGGCTCAGGTGTTATTCCTCTGTACCCAGTAAATTCACGCCATATCCCACCCTTGTATTGCAATCAGAGGCAACTAATAGAACCTTTACTAAATTAATCCCTTTCTCTCGTAGTTTTTTTTTTTATTCTAGTCCAAAGAAAGCGAGATTCTACATGTTTATAAATTGGCTCAACATGTGAGATATAAGTTGTACTCAAATATACCGACCGCCTGATGAGAAACTGCCTCCTCAGCCGGTGAACCTTGCCTGAAGCTTTCTGATATTAAGATCTAAATTTATAGTAATCAGTAATTTCATTGACAATTTAATGTCAAAATAAAAATCATATCCGAAGATGAATTCGTAATTTATGAGGTCACTAGCGAAATCTATACGAAATTATTGGAATATATTCGAATAACTTAACTACAATGAATATAATTATTCCACAGATGTCGCTAAACATATTTTTTGTTTGTGGTTGAACTGAATATTTATTATTCAAGAAAAATAAAAACATGCAATTTGTGTATTATTTACAATAACTAACTCAATATAATGTGGTAATTTATTAATTTTAAAAGTTCATAATATAAAACATAGAATCTTTTTTATGATGGCAATCACAGAGTTGTTTTTTAAATAGTGGCAACTTCTCAACAGTCAATTAATGTTTTTGACACGCCTATTTGATTACAGTCCCTGTTTTATATGATTATTTCATTAAATTGTGTTGTAATATCTATTTTGTGAAGTGATTTCAGTGCTCTAGTACATTGTTTATTGTATAAACAATATTGCGTGTGTCAATATCTTCATACTTCACGAATTATCAAGGTAAAAGTAACACAATAAAGTTGTCAAAGTATTATACTACCTAATTACGAAGTCCCTTTCACTAATTATTTGTAAACAAAATATCGGTTCTTGTAATTTTGTAATATATTCGGCAACTGTCCTACATATAAATTTGTTTATTTACTTATCTTTTCTTTATTTCTGAACCATTTTTAATTGCAATATGTCTTTTGAAGATTTGTTTAGTTAATTTTATATAATTAATCCCTGACTGCCTACTTCCACCTATATATAATAGAGAATAATCAGAAATACAGCTAATGCCTATGAGTCATAATATGTACTTGTACAATTCTTAGAGAGTGTACACATTTCTTTAGTAATAGTTTATTTGAAACGGTAAAGGCAATGGTAGGAAGTCATACAGGCTAGTTGTCTGTACATGTCTTTAGATACATATTAAAAAAAAATTGACATTAATAAATAATGATTACCTGAGACTTGCTAGTAATGGTGTCAAGCCTCATTGCTAGCAATATATTGTAAGACTCCCACACTGTCGCCTGAAAATTATGGTTAATTCCTGTTATTAAATTAGCCACAAAATGCTTACTAATCTGCTTTCATCTTCACCTATTATCTCTCACTGGTGCCCCACTATGATGTTTTCTCTTACAAACACTCAGGACAACTACCATGAAATACTTTCCGAAATTTCGGGGATGAATAAACAAATTTGATGTTAAAATTACATAATACATGCCGTTTAAAATTATTAAAAATGTTAAAATATCGTTCCTCTGAACTATTAGGATAGGATTTATGACGAATGAAATGTTAAGCTCCATTTACTGGGTCGATTTCGGTACAAACAAAAATGAAATTGATCCAGAAATTTTGGAATTTCATTTCATGGTAGACACTCAGGTCAGACTCTGTATCAGGGTTTTTCTGAAATATTACAATATGGACTTTTTTTAAAAGGGGCAAAGATGTTTCTTCGAGACATGCAATTCATGGATAATATCCCTGTTACAGGTGTTCATAGGCTACAGTAATTGCTTACTAATGGTAAACAGTTGTAGCCTATGAATGCCTACAGAATGGTGGGCCATATGCTTGTTTGCCACCACAGTGGTGTAAAGAAAAACTAGAATACTATAAAAATAGATGTATATACATGTTAATTATAGTAAATTTATCATGGTATGGTGAATTCAAAACATTAGCTCTCTTTTTCCCATCATACTAATTGTGAAAGTTTATTGTATTTGTTAGTGGCATATTGTTGGCATATTTTGGAATTTTAATACTAATTGTGAAAGTTTATTGTATTTGTTAGTGGCATATTGTTGGCATATTTTGGAATTTTAATACTAATTGTGAAAGTTTATTGTATTTGTTAGTGGCATATTGTTAGCATATTTTGGAATTTCAAACTCATTTTAACAGTTCTCAGTTTCTGTATAATTATTTATTTATTTATTTACAAGAAACATGGTAAGTGTATAGATGTTACAATAAGTATAAGTCCTCATATTTCACCAAATTTTTTAATTAAAAGATGACATCACCATAGGAAGATATTGTATAAAATATACATATTGTTTGTATGGGTACCTGTGTCCCACTTGTGTTTTTACTGTGAAGCAGCTGTACTTGCATGGCTGTGTTTAAGTTTGCTGATTGGGTTACAATATTTATTATTTTTTCTTGTACTTTTCCTGCACTAGATAACCCGCTAAACATTTTTTGAAAATTGATCAATATGTTTAATTTTTTAATGGATGAAAAGGAAATGTTAGCCCCGCCTATGCTATGGGTGTATACTGGCCGGTGAGGTATTATAGGTGGGGATGAAAGCAGATTAGTGGACCCATTGTGAGGAATTCCTGCAATGGTTTCCGGGGAAATCCAGAGGTTGGCCTGGTGGGGTCTATTGATAGCATTAGGGAAATTAAACCCCAATACTAACAATCCCTTTCCCCCAAAATGATGGTTTCTAAAGTAGGGACTGGAGGTCTACTTGATAGGATACATCTCTTCTATTTAAAACTAGTGTTTACTCACTACTTCGTCTGTGTATTGAGTGAATATATTCCGGTCATGTGGTGGGAATTGCCAGTGAAAGCTAGTAAACTATTTTTATACCTTTCCAGCGAGCATGGCGACCATGACCGATCCCTACGGCACGACGGGCACCCTGACCCTCAAGTGGGACCCCAAGAACCTGGAGATCCGCACCACGTCGGTGGAGAGGACCCTGGAGCCCCTCGTGCTGCAGGTCACCACACTGGTGAACAGCAAGGATAGAGCCGCCAAGAAGAAGAGGCGTGAGTGATATTTGAACCTTCTCAGTTCTCAGTGATTTAATATACAGTTACCTTCTAGGACATTTCTTTTGCATTTTTTAATCGGAGAATCTGTATGTTTGTTTTTTTCCATTTGTTACTATAAACGTTAACAGTCACAAAATAGATACAGTTTTTTTTTTAACATTAGTTTACAATAGGTATATTATAATCATCATCATCATCATCATCATCATTTCAGCCATTGTCTGCCCTTTTTTTCTGAATATAGACTGCCATAAGGAATGAGAGTTTATAGCAATTTACCATTGGGATATTATGCCAGTAGTTGCTACATTTGGGAGACTGGTTGACAACCGTAGTTTGGCGGGGGGAAAGGGATTGTTAGTAATGGAGACTGAGAATCCCATTGCTAGCAATATACCCAACCAGGTCGACCTCCTCGCCGTTCCCTGCAAACTATCATGGTTAATTCCTGATGAATTCATCATGATGTGCTAACTGGCCTGTTTTCATTCTCATCTATCACCCTTCACTGGTGCTCCGCCAGCGTATCCCGTTAGCGCAGGCGGGGTTACCATACCATTTTCACCCATCAAAAAAAAACCGTAGTTTGGCTTATGGTGATATTTTAAAAGAGACACCGCTGCCCATCCCTAGACCTTAATCTGTAATATTAGTAAAGGTTATAATTTTTGTATTACATGGCTTAATTAGTGGAAAAGGACAGGGGTAAATATTATTTAATATAATTTCTAGATTCGGGACTAATAAAAAAAAAACTAATATATTTGTGACTGTCATCCGTAGTGGACTGTCGCAGGCGTTTGCCATTGTGGTGAATACGACAATATTTCGTCGAACATATCGTCACCTCTATGGCAATATTTCGTCGAACATATCGTCACCTCTATGGCAATATTTCGACGAACATATCGTCACCTCTATGGCAATATTTCGACGAACATATCGTCACATCTATGGCAATATTTCGTCGAACATATCGTCACCTCTATGGCAATATTTCGTCGAACATATCGTCACCTCTATGGCAAATTTACGAATCTGCAGTTTTTTCAAATTTGACATTTCTTTAAAAATCTACATCTTGCGTCATACTACTTATTGTGGCTTACTTTCAAATTTCTATCTCTAACGGTTAAAGAAATCGAGTAGCTCGAATCTCCATATTTTTGTGATACACCCAAAGTAAACTTACTTAGCATATTTTTATAGTATTTTCTATAATAAACACTTTAATTTGAAAATTTCAATAATTATTTTATCAATTTTTCAATCCTAATTAAGCTATTTTACATGAATGATTGCTATAGCGTTGTTATTTAAACTGAAGTTTTCTCCAAAACACGTGATTTATACCTTGGTATATTTACGAAAGTGGCACTTTCGTTAGTTTGCCAGATATTAAAGTAAATGATTTTCTTTGGCAACTTACGAAACTGCCACTTTCGTAGATTTGCTGTTGTATAACTCAATACCTAGGAACTCTCATGTATGAAGGTGCAAATTAACGAATTTGCATTTATTTCTGATACTTGTAATATAGTTATAATTAATTAAGCGCATTCAATAAAACAACAGGATTTTAAAACTAAAATGTTAGCATGATCTTTTACAGTAGTCTTCTGTCAAAAGTTATTTGCATTCTAATGTTTCAAAACGTTCCCCTGTAAAATGTATCTTTTTAAGTTTCGTAAGTTTACCATAGAGGTGACGATATGTAGTGGGAAGAGAAAGGAATGGAATGGAAGGATAGGCTTGATTGCATCATTTAAATTATGTCTGATTATAAAGAAATTATATCTTGAAATAAATTCTAAAATAGAAATAATATTTTATACAGAAAAAGATAGATAGATACTCTTTATTGTTCCCTCCATAAGATTACAATAGTAAACTTATTATAGACACAAACAATTACAAGGAAATATTACACTGAGAGAACAATGGGCGACCTTATCGCTGAGAGCGATCTCTTGCAGGCAACCTTTGGATGGAGAGGAGTAATTACAAACTGTTTGACTGGAAGCACGATGAAACTTCATTACATTTTTAGTATTGGTGAACTAAATACTAAAGACTACTACTAATATACTATAATAATGATAGGTGAGGATGTAGTCGGAACAGCTGGTCCGAATGGGCGTGATAAATTCGTCATTAGTTACCTAATATGGTTTCCAGAATGTACCGCGTAAAGGTCCAACCGATAGGGTACATTTAAAGCAATGAGCCTAAGTCAGCCACGAAAGTAAAAGTGACGGATGAATAACGACGAGTTACCCCATCGTAATGAATTCCACAAGAATTGATCACAATGGTTTCTAGAGAGTACCGCTTGGAGGTTAACCTGTTGGGGTATATATATTTTTTTAATTGGTGATAATGGAATGGTAACCTTGCCTACGCTAAAGGGATATGCTGGCGGAGCACCAGTGAGGGATGACAGGTGAGAATGAAAAGGCAGATCAGTAAGCCCATCGTGACCATTAATTCCACTAGAATTAATTAGGACAGTTTCCAAGTGAAACCGCGTGGAAGTCGACCTCATAAGGTGTATTGCTAGCAATGGGGTCTACCCTCCCCATTACTAACAATCCTTTCCCCCCAATAGCGTATATTGTTAGCGATGGGGCAGTTAAACCCCATTAATAACGATCCGTTTCCCCCCAGTTTGTCATGGTATGGTCATGTAATGCGCAGGGAAGAAGAGAATGTACTAAAAAGGTATTATGCATGAATGTAGATGGTTATAAGCGCAGAGGAAGACCAAAAAAGAGATGGATGGACTGTGTGAAGGATGATATGGCCAGAAAGAGAGTGACTAGCGAAATGACTGCGAATAGGGATGAATGGAAGAAAAAACATGGTACTGACTCTAAATAGACACGGGAAAAGGGCAAGAAGAAGTCAATAGGGTTTTAAGATGCCAATGAGAGTATTCCCCACTGGCTTTCTCGTGTTGTGAAGATTGCTTACGACAAAACAGGCCTTTAAAGAGTAGATCACGACACATTCTTTCCAGCTGGCAAGTCCAAACGGGCTAGTGCTTTGGTGGCGACCGTGGAACGAGCGACGGACATCTTCATAGAGCGAGGGCAGACCATCGCGTACGAGAACCCCGAGATCACGGATGAGATGCTGGCCGCGGTGGAGGAAGTCAGGAAGGCGGGTGAGTCCGAGTACTGGGTGTGATGACAGTAGATCGTTGTCTTCGGGAATGGCGATGGGAGACTTTGTACAAAAGTCGATTGCTTCGGTACCTCTGTCCCATTCGTGTTTCTACCGTGAAACAGTTGTGTTTGCATGACTGTGTTTCGGTTTGAAGGGTGGGATATGGCGTAATTTTACTGGGTACGGAGGAATAATACCTGAGTCTTCAAGAATGGCAACGTATAGGGGATATCATGGGCGAAAGAGTATACTCTGTTATGTCCACGGTACTGCTCATGTCTATAGGCGACTGGTGAAATCTTCCACTGGTGTGTTTATAGGCTTAATGGTATCTGTTTTGAAGTCTTGTAAATCGGTTTGAAGGGTGTGATATAACAGTTAAGGCTAAGGAAGGGGGAGCTAGGTTAGTTTCGGTATACGGATAAAGTTCTGAATAAAAGAATGATTGAAACTAGAGAAATTAAAGTAGAATTATTAATTTTGGAGGTATGATATCATAGTTTTAAAGAACGTTACCAACGTACTTAGATTGGCCACGGGTGTTAGGGTATTCTGAAATATACATAGATTTCTGTTCCTGTCCATAGACGACAGTTACCACTTTTCATCGGATCGATCGATAGCTAGCTTGTAAGTTTTTATACAAATATCATTAATGGACGAAGACCCGAGCTCGTGTTCTCGGTGTGAAGTCTGTTTGATTGGAATGTCGTTTGTGGGACATTCGCTTGCCGCTAACGTTGAGCAAGCCGGCGAGACAGCATGTAGCAGCCAGCAGAGATGGCTTGTGCGCAGGCGCGGCGATGAGCGTGGCGGCGCGCGAGTTCTCGGAGGAGCCGTGCGCGTCGGCCGTGCGCTCCGGCATGGTGCGCGCCGCGCGGGCGCTGCTGTCCGCCGTCACGCGCCTGCTCATCCTCGCCGACATGGTCGACGTGCACCTGCTGCTGTCCAAGCTGCGCACGGTCAGTCCACCCCGCCCCGCCCCGCCCCACCGCCACCTCACTGTCCGCCGTCACGCGCCTGCTCATCCTCGCCGACATGGTCGACGTGCACCTGCTGCTCTCCAAGCTGCGCACGGTCAGTCCACCCCGCCCCGCCCCGCCCCACCGCCTCCTCACTGTCCGCCGTCACGCGCCTGCTCATCCTCGCCGACATGGTCGACGTGCACCTGCTGCTCTCCAAGCTGCGCACGGTCAGTCCACCCCGCCCCGCCCCGCCCCACCGCCACCTCACTGTCCGCCGTCACGCGCCTGCTCATCCTCGCCGACATGGTCGACGTGCACCTGCTGCTCTCCAAGCTGCGCACGGTCAGTCCACCCCGCCCCGCCCCGCCCCACCGCCACCTCACTGTCCGCCGTCACGCGCCTGCTCATCCTCGCCGACATGGTCGACGTGCACCTGCTGCTCTCCAAGCTGCGCACGGTCAGTCCACCCCGCCCCGCCCCGCCCCACCGCCACCTCACTGTCCGCCGTCACGCGCCTGCTCATCCTCGCCGACATGGTCGACGTGCACCTGCTGCTCTCCAAGCTGCGCACGGTCAGTCCACCCCGCCCCGCCCCACCGCCACCTCACTGTCCGCCGTCACGCGCCTGCTCATCCTCGTAGACATGGTCGACGTGCACCTGCTGCTCTCCAAGCTGCGCACGGTCAGTCCAGTCTATCATCCCTTACTAAAACCCCGCCAGCGTATACTGTTATCGCAGACGGGGTTACCATTTCATTATCATCCATTAAAAAAAAACCAGACTGCTTCAGCTCACAACAGGACGCAGGTCATCAGCGAGCCAACATCGAATCTACGAGAGTGACAATTATATTTAGATATTTGATTTTACAACAATACACACTTCCGGATTCTTTAACCCTTACCATTTAACAACAGGTCGAGACAGATCTGGACAAGCTTAAGTCGGCATCCTCCCAATCCGAACTGGTGGAATCAGCTCGCCAGTTCGGAAGGTCCGCCAACGAGTTGGCAGCTCAAGCCGCCAAGCGTCAGCAGGAGCTGAAGGAACCCCGGATGAAGGACGAGCTTGCTGCTGCCAGGGCTGTGCTCAAGAAGCATTCTACCATGCTGTTGACTGCGTCTAAGGTGATTTATGGAGTGTCTTTTACTGAGTATGAATGATCTTCCGCCAACGGAAGATCGGCGCGTATGACCACTCGTCGAGCGTTTGGCTTATGTGGCGCCAACTAAAACCCACCATATGTTTTATATTTATTTATTTATTAATAAACACATATTGTTGTGGTTACGGCGGCAGGTGTACGTGCGCCACCCCGAGCTGGCGGCGGCGAAGGCCAACCGCGACTACGTGCTGCGTGCCGTGTGCTCCGCCGTCGACACCATCTCCAGCGTGGCGCAGGGCCGCCCGCTGCCCAACGGTGACTAACACGCTCGCACTACACTCGCACCACACACCACACTCAACCGCGACTACGTGCTGCGCGTACTAACACTCCACTCACACTGTACAACTCTCACTATTGAACTCACACTACTATATTCACGCTACATTATCGTCGCAGTACTCTACTCGCACACTACATTATCGTCGCAGTACTCTACTCGCACAATCTTTACTACGACACTGCTCACATATTTTGAGATTTTTGTTTTAAAATATTATTTTCAATTTTATTAATTAGTCTAAACAATGTGATAATGTTAATATTGTAGCGTCACAGTATATACAGTATTAACGTTCGCAGGAGGCACGCGCCCTCCGACGGAGGGTCCGGGCGAACTAGCGCAGGCGCTCGACGATTTTGACGTAAGTATACATATATCACACCTGTACCCCACTGGGGTAAGCAGAAATATTGGCAGTAGAACATAATTACTAATCAACCGACTTTAAAAAAAGAAGGAGATTTTGTTTTATGTTTATACCAGCTTTTAACTGCCCACTGCTGAACATAAGCCTCCCTCTTAGAGGGTTTGGCCAGTAGTAGCTACGTTTGGCAAGCGTATTGGCAACCGTAGTTACGTTTTGGAGACGTTTTAACAGGGACACCGCTGCCCTCCTTTAGTCGCCTCTACGACACTCACGGACAAGGGGTGGTCTGTTCTATGCCGGGACTCTTAACTCCGTCAGTTTTAAACCATTTTGTTTTTTTTTTTTTTTTTTCTTGAAGGATATACATACTCCTATCCATCCAAAGGTTGCCTGCAAGAGATCGCTCTTAGCGATAAGGTCGCCCATTGTTGTTTCACTGTGATTATTTCTTGTAATTGTTTGTATCTATAATAAGTTTACTATTGTAATCTTTTGGAGGGAACAATGAAGAGTATCTATCTATCAGATTGGTCTCACAGAAAATATATAAAAATCGGTACAGTAGTTTAGGTTTGGTTTCTATTCGCATTTTATGACATTTGCATGGTTTTGTTTTTTGTTTTTAATGAGTACTCTCTTTATGTTGAACATTACAGGAGCGCATGGTGATGGAGCCGCTAGCGTACTCGGAGTTGCGCACGCGGCCGTCGCTGGAGGAACGGCTCGAGTCCATCATTTCAGGCGCAGCCCTCATGGCTGACAGCTCTTGCACCAGGTAGTGTAACTTTCCTATATAGCATGTAGAAGCCTGTCCCTTGGGAATTTTCTAAAAAATATTGATCGATAAATGAAAAGTTTTCAACCAATAGGAGACTTTGTACATAAGTCGTTTGCTTGGCCACCTCTGTCCCATTCGTGTTTCTACCGTGAAGCAGTTGTGTTTGCATGGCTGTGTTTCGGTTTGAAGGGTGCGATATGGCGTGAATTTACAGGGTACAGAGGAATAACACCTGAGTCCTCAGGAATGGTAACGCATGGGGGAAACAGTATACTCTGTTATGTCCATGGTACTGTTCATGTCTATAGGCGACGGTTACCGCTTACGATCAGGTGGGCCGTCAGCTTCTTTGGTATTCTAAGTTGCATAAAGAAAAAATAAGAAAACCTTAAATTATTTTACAACCCATGTTTTTTCAGTGTATGGTATTTGGATGCCTTGATATGACGTTATTGATTTCGTTTGTTTGTTGCAGGGACGAACGTCGAGAGCGCATCGTGGCCGAGTGCAACGCGGTGCGGCAGGCGCTGCAGGACTTACTGCACGAGTACATGACCAATGTTAGTATCAGCCTTTGACCTTTATATATATATATTTTTTTACTATCCTTTGCTGACAACTGTCCACTGCTGGACATAAGCCTTCCCCATAAGGGAGTTTTGCTAGTAGTTGCCACGCTTGGCAGACGGTTGTCAACCGCAATTAGGCTTTAGAGATGTTTCAAGAGGGATGCTGCAGCCATCCCATCGCTCGCCCTCCCTTAGTCGCCTTTTATGACTTTCTCGCAGGAAAGGAAGGGATGGCTTATTCTATACCGGGATCACACGGGAATTTTAAATAATGGATGCCATTAATTTTTTTGTTTATACCACTGAGGTGGTAAACAAGCATACGGTCCACCTGATGGTAATCGGTTATTGTAGCTTATGAACGCCTGCAATACTGGGGGCATTACGCGCGCGTTGCCGACCCTGAAGAAACATCTTTACCCCCCTTTTAAAGAACCCCATGCTGTAGTCTCTTGGGAAAACCTCGGTAGCTCATTCCATAACCTGAGTGTTCGTGGGAGAAAACATCTCTGAAATCGCGTTGTACGCGACCATCTAGGCTGTAGGGTATGAAGGTGAACTCCCTGTCGATGGCGAACCGTACGATGGTAGATAGTTGGTAACGGTAGAAAGATGGTGGAAAGATAACTTGCTGTATAACAGTTAGATTCTTACTATGTAATAGTTAAATTTTTACTATTTAATAGCTATACATTTTATGCATGTCAAAATTACCAATTCCCCTTGCGCTATTTATCTACTTCTATCTATTCTCCTTTAACCAAAGGTTGTCTGTAAGAGACTGCCCTAGCGATAAGACCGTCTTTTGTACTTTTATGTATATATTTAGTATTTGTCGTTCCATTGTTTCTGCCTACCCTAATGGGAGACAGGCGTGACAGATATGTATGTATGTATGTATATATTTCAGTCGACACTTTATGCTATTGTATTTCATTTGAATTGTTTATATGCCATTGTACACTTTAATATTTTTGGTGCGATAAAGGGGTAAATAAATAAATACTTTCACCGTGTAAGTGTCAAACTCTTACTATGTATTTGTTAAGCTCTTACTATGTATTTATAAAACTCCCACTATGTATATGTTAAATTCTCACATATATATCTGTCAAACTTTCAGGATGTATTTATTTCATTCTCACTATGGTATTTGCTAAAGTGTCACTATGGTATATGTCAAAGTGCCACTATGTAAATGTGAGGGTGGCACTAGGACTAGTGGTGGTAATGGTGGTGGTGTGTGCAGGCGGGACGCGCGGAGCAGTCGGAAGCGCTGGAGCGCGCCATCGAGGGCATGTGCCGCAAGACGCGCGACCTGCGCCGCCAGCTGCGCAAGGCCGTCGTCGACCACGTCTCCGACAGGTAGCCAGCCTCGAACAACCACACACTCCAGTCGCTCGAGGAAATCTACTTCTATATATCTAGACCTATCATCCCTCACTGGCACCCCGCCAGCGTATACCGATAGCGCAAACGGGGTTACCATTCCATTATCATCCATTAATATCATAATAATATCAGCCATTATCTATCTACTAATGAACATAGGCCTCCCCATAGAGTACCATAACGGGACTGTTCTTTATGGCAGTTAACTGTTGAAGGGATTTTGCCAGTAATTACCCCGCTTGACAGGCGGATTAGCAACCGCAGTTTCACTTATGATGTTATGTTAAGAAAGACACTGCTGCCTGTCCCTCGACCGTTAAATTCCCTTAGCTGCCCTTTACGACAGCCACGGGAAAGGAAGGGATTGCCTATTCTATGCCAGGGCTATACAGCAATAGGCAATATATTCGTATAATTAATTAAAATTTTTACGATACGATCAGAGGTAAACTACTCTTCTGTACTCTGGTTTAAGATGGCTACCGACTTAAATTGCAACCTACATATTTTTTTTTTATACAACTTAGAATGGCAAACAAGCTGACGACCCACCTGATGGAAAGTAGTAATCGTCGCCTATAAACATGAACAATACCATGGGCATAACAGAATATACTGTTTCGCCCATGCTACCCTCCCATGCGTTGCCATTCCTGAGGACTCAGGTGTTATTCCTCTGTACCCTGTAAATTCACGCCATATCTCACCCTTCAAACCGAAATACAGCCATGCAAACACGACTGCTTTACGGTTGAAACACGAATAGGACAGAGGTGCCCAAGCAAACGACTTTTGTACAAAGTCTCCCTCTGGTATGAAATATAAAATTGACATTGACTTAATATTTCGTAGTTTCCTGGAGACCAACGTGCCGTTACTGGTGTTGATGGAGGCAGCCCGCAACGGCAACGAGAAGGAAGTGGAGGAGTACGCCCTCGTGTTCACTGAGCACGCCAACAAGCTTGTCGAGGTTGGTCATCACCATCATTGACTTATTTAAGATCTTTTTTGGGGGCTGGGCTGGCTACTTATAAAAGGCACAAAAGACACTCTTAGATATGTGGTGAAGCTTCGCTCGCATTCTGGAGTGGATACCAGACAAATCTGTTTTTTTTTGTGGATGACAGTGGAATGGTAACCCCGCCTACGTTAACGGTATACACTGGCGGGGCACCAGTGAGGGATGATAAGTGAAAATGAAGAGTCAAGTCAGTTGGCCCATCGTGATTACACCTGGAATTCAGCGCGATAATTTCCAGGGAGACCACGTGGACTTTGTCCTGACAGGGTATATTGTTAGCAATGGTAGTCTGCATTACTAACAAGTACTCCCCCGCCAATTTTGGGTATGGCACGACCCTCCCGTCAAATTTATTATAATTCCTTTTATTTATTGATAATATGTATTTATCTGTGGATCTCAGGTGGCAAACCTGGTGTGCTCGATGTCGAACAACGAGGATGGTGTGAAGATGGTGCGACATGCTGCCGGGCAAATAGAGGCGCTCTGTCCACAGGTAATGTAACGGTTTATTTATATTAATTTTGTATCTTGGTCACGGCACTAAGTTTAACAAATAATTGCCATTAAAACTAAAGTAAATTAATTGATACACACAAACACACAAATATACACGCGCACACGCATGTGCACACGCACACACACAAACTAACTTTCTTTACTTGTTTTAGACATACTTAGACAGTATTCGTTTATAAAATTAAAATTTGTTTTTGGCTGTATTTATAAAGGACTCAGCCTTTGTGTGTTATTTTGTAAGAGAGCTGTGGATTTTTCTACTAAATAAAAAGAAACTGTTTATATATTTGTTAAATAGATAATTAATGAAATTAGGGCAGTAGAGTCGTCATTACGACAAACCACGATAGTTTCTAAGAGGGACCGCGCAGAGGTCACTTTGACAGTATAATTTTTTTTTTTAATAAATAATTATGAATAGCAATCCCATTTACGCTATTGATATACGTGGACGGTTTGTCAGTGAGAGATATTGTGACGATTTAATCAAGCATTAACCACAACGATGATAATAAGAAATAACCGCGATCGCGTGGAACCTCCACTGATAAGTGGAACTTCCTGATAAGTGTATATTATTAGCATTGGAGGCGTTAGTCCTCATTAATAGCAATCTCCAACAGTGTAATGTTAAGTGAAAGTCGTGCGTGTGTGTGAACAGGTGATCAACGCAGCACTGGTGCTGGCGGCGCGGCCGCGATCGCGGGTGGCCCAGGATAACGCGGGCGCGTTCGCTCGCGCCTGGGAGGCAGCCGTGCGGCTGCTCACCGACGCAGTCGACGACATCACCACCATCGACGACTTCCTCGCCGTCAGCGGTAACTCTCATTACTGTTTTTTTTTACGCCACTTAGATTGGCATACAATCTGACGGTCCACCTGATGTAAAGTGGTAACCGTTGCCTATAGATATAAGCAGTACCATGGACATAACAGAGTATACTTTTTTCTTCAACCAAGCAGTCGACACTAGCACCGATAACCGGTAGCTGCAGTACATGTTCCGATGCAGACGTACAACTCAACACCCCAACGTACAACCCGAGTACCCCAACTAACACGTCGAATACCCCATGTTACAACTCAGGTACCTCAACATACAACTCGAGTACCCCAACATACAATTCAGTTACCCTAACATGCAACTCAAGTATCCCAACTTACAATACTAGTGTCGCAATTTTCAACCTGAGTATTTCTATTTAGGGGTCAGTTACAACTTGATTACCCCACTTGAAATTTTAAACACCAAGGTTTCCATTATGAACATGTCATCTCCCGGTACAGAGAACCACATCCTGGAGGACGTGAACAAGTGCGTGGTGGCACTGCAGGAGGCCGACCCCGACTCGCTCGAGCGCACCGCCGGCGCCATCCGTGGCCGCGCGCACAGGTACACGCCTCATCATCATCACCATCACTATCACCAGGCATCATAACTGACCACATAGAACATTTGTTTCTATCAAACAAGGCTCGGTTTAATGTGGGAAGGGAGAACCGGAAATCTTGAGTCGGAAAAATGAGGGCCCAACTGCCCTAAATTTAGAATGCTGGAGGTAGGGTCCGACCCAGACTGCAGGAGAAGCTGGACATATGCCCAATGTGGCAAAAATGGGAGCCGATGGGAGGGGGGATGATTGAGGCAGGGCTAGATCTTGGTCAGTGGCAGATTATCCTGGCAAGAAAGATTTTTAGGCTTGCTTTCCATTTCATGTAACGCGCCGTAACATTTTGTTGTTAACCCCCCACCCCCAAACTTATCCAACACCCAAACGAACGAAAAGTGTTGCCAATTTGGGAGATTTTTTAGGGAGGGGGGTTGCCAGTAGTTGTCACACTTGGCAAGTGAGTTGGCAACCGCAGTTAGACTTTGGTGATGTTTTAAGAAAAATGCCCTTTCTCCATGAAGTTCCCTTAGTGACCTCTTACTACACCCACGGGAAAGAAAGGGGTGGCCCATTCTATGTCGGGACCACATGGCTTTTTAAAATCGGTCAATATAAATTTAATTTGTTATACAGGGTGTGCTCCGTGGTGACACAGGAAATGGACAACTACGAGCCCTGTATATACACGAAGCGGGTCCTCGAGGCTGTCACCGTGCTCAGGGATCAAGGTAAGTCATTAGTCATTTATTCGAAAAACAATGAATGTACATTGTTTTTTTTTTATTCTAATAAGGTATGATCATATTATTCTTATATATGGTACACTAATTGTTGTGTCATACTCGGTAACGCTGTAAAAATTCATTAAAAAGATCAGCGCATCACTACTATATAGTGGCGCGTCATACTCGGGAACGCTATAACAATTCGTAAACAAGGCCAGTGTTAGTTACCGCGTCGTAATCGGTAACGCTGTACAAACTCGTTACCAAGATCAGCGCTATTGTAGTTGTCGCGTCATACTCGGGAACGCTATAAAAATTCGTTGACGTGGTCAATGTTAGTTGCCGCGTCGTAATCGGTAACGCTGCACAAACTCGTTACCAAGATCAGCGCTATAGTAGTTGTCGCGTCATACTCGGGAACGCTATAAAAATTCGTTGACGTGGTCAGTGTTAGTTGCCGTGTCGTACTAGGGAACGCTGTTAAAATTTTTAATTTGTAGTTTCTTTTTTTGTATTTTTGTATTGCGTTCTGTTTTTGTTTATAACATTATCGTATTGCAACTTGTTTTAGGTATTTGTTATTTTATATATATATATATATATATATATATATATATATATATATAGATAATTTATTTGCATTACTTACTTACAGCACACAAATTACAACATACATACACAAAAAGAAAAGCGAGATAACATAAATGACAAAAAAATACACAAAGCCAAATGCAACTTTCGTTTGTGAGTGTGCCATAGCAATACAAAATGGCCACAACTCAGTTTATTGCTTCGCCTTCAAAAGAGCAGAGCACTGATATTCTGTTGCGGCCAAAGGGAATAGGGTAACAATAAAACAATACTACCAGATTTTACTTTACGAGCGTTTATATAACTATATAAACGCTCCTCCACTTAAGTAGATTGTGCACTAAGTTGTATAAATTCCTATAGTTTTTTAACTATCCCACAGGAACTCTTTATTTTTCCGTGATTAAATGTGTCTAAAATGTCGACCGGGGATGTGAGGTACCACCATGTAAAGTTACATTTAAATCGGTACAACAGTCTCGGAGATTAGTCCGTAAAAACAGACGGTAACAAAAATTTTTAAAAAATCTGGATGTGTTCTTATTCACTTGTAACGAATAACCAAAACAACGGAAGACCTTTTTTCAGCAGTGAACAGTAGGGGATGATATCATCGTTGACAAATTTTTACCCGCGACATCGTCCGCGTGACTGAGATATTAGCCTATGTTCTTCTCCATCACAAATGCTATACTCTACTTTCAATGGAACTTAATGAAAAGGTGGCCAAGTTGTTGTGATCATCCCAGGAGCATGTCTCTGTATGTAATCAGAGTCGAATGGTAACATCCAATCTATTGGTCGACGTTTGGCTTGTACTACGCTCAAACATCGGCGGGCTGGGGGGAAAGGGATTTTTAGCAATGGTGTTTGACAGCCCCATTGCTAGCAATATCAGGTCCACCTCCACATGGTTCCCCCTGGAGACCATCGTGCTGAATTCCAGGTGTGTTCATCACGATGGACTAACTGACCTGCTTTCATCGTCACCTATCATTCCTCACTGGTGCTCCGTTAGCGCAGGCGGGGTTACCATTCCATTGTCATGCATAAAAAAAAAAACATTGGCGGGCTGGCTCATGGCAAGAGAGTATTCGTTAAGTTTATATTTTTATTAAGTTCCATTGAAACGTAGTCCACGTGTGTACTAAATTCCATGACGATCGGTTTAGCCGTCAACAGGTAACAAACAAATCAATAGTGTAGTCAAATTTGTTTTATTTATTGGCAGTGTATTTTTTTTTACATTTTTTTAAAATAATTACAAATATATCTCCTATCACAGTTTTAATTGTTCAGTTAATAATAGATATATGTATTAAACTAACATTATTATTAGATAATTAGTATTTAAAAAATAGTGTGATAATATAAACATTTTTAAATATTTTAAATTGTAATTTAAATTTATAATTTTAATTTTATTTTGTAATTTAAAATTATACATTTAATATTAAATTGTAATTTAAAGTTATAACTTTAATTTTAAATTGTAATTTGAAATTGTAAATATAATTTTAAATTGCAATTTAAATTTACAAATTTAATTTTCAAATTAAAAATAATATTATACTGTTGTTTTGTTACAATTTAAATTACAATTTAAAATTAACAATTCACATTACTCTTATTAACACGTCAAAAGTTTATTAAATCAATTTTGGTTTAATTGATATTTTACGTATAAAAGGAATAAATAATATGTAATTTAATATGGTATTCACCAATTTTATATCTTAAAATTTGTTATTATATGTTAAATTATAGATATTAAAATTTTCTTTTAATTGTCATTTTAAATGTTATCTTTTTTAAATTACAAATTACAATTCGTTTCTACAGAATTTAATGTAAAGGTAAATCTATTTTTAAAAAGTCAAATCTTTTGATTTTTTACTTTGACATTAATTCAGATATTAAATTAATTAAAATGTCCAATATGATCACATGCTATTCTTATACTAAGCTAGCTGGGTAGGTGATTAGGATTCAGGCGGCGGGGGGTGTGCTCGGATGTACTCCAGCGCTTTGAGGATCGCCTCGGGGATCGGAGGCGGGGTCGGCAGGTGGGAGCCCTGTGGATTAGAAAAACAACTAAAATATTGGCATTCGACTTTAAAAAGCGGTTTTGTTCCTTTTTTAACCGGCTTCCAAAAATGAGGAATTTATATGTTTGATTGTATATTTTATTTTGTTTGTCACCTCAGAACTCTGTCGTTTATAAAACGATTTTGAAAATTCTTAATATTCAACCTCACAAACTTACGCATTTATTATTATAATTGTGATGGTTTTTTTTATCGGAAAAATCGAATCCCGCCTGCACTGCCCGTATACACGCTGGCGGGGCACCAGTGAGGGACGACTCCATTATCATCCATTAAAAAAAAAACTCCACGTTACTAAAAATTCCTTTCCCCTGATATATATTGTTAGCAATGGGACGTTCAGACGCAATTATTAATAATCCCTTCCCCCCCCCCTCCCAATGGGCCTGCGGTGTATTAAGCCATACATGTGACTCACCTGCGGCTGGTAGCCGTTCTCGTCCGCTATGTATTGGAGCTGTATGACTTCGCCGCCGGGCGCGGTCCACTGCGCCTCGCCCTGCACTGATTGGGCGGCGTTTTCCTACAAAATAACAATAGTATTTTTTATTTATTTATTTATTTACACATACACTAAACAAACCTTTCATTAAAATAATATCATTAATTAAATACAAAACAACATAATAATGAAGACTACACGATTATATAATAACATTACTATTTTACTTTGAATTTAGAATAAAAAGAAAAACATAAAAAACAAAAATGAATGTAGCAGTGTTTGTGCAAAGGACCTAACTCGGCATATGTCGCAGTTTCATATCTGAAGCACACGACACTGATTTCCAGTAGGCCCTAAACACGTAACTCACGGACACGTGTGTGCAAGAGATGTTATGTATAAATATATAAGTATAATATATAAAACAGTGATGAATATATATGATAAACACGGGAATAATGATAAGAGATATAAGAGATATACATTAGAAATAGATTCAACGATGTACAACTACAGTACATATTTAATTAATATAATAAAAGTTCTTTATTCACGGTATATACGTTTATTTATTCATTTATTCTTTATTGTACACAAAAAATTACAACATATAATATATATATAAAATAAAGATGTACAACAGTCGAGCTTAACTCTGTAAGAGTTCTCTTCCAGCAAACACTGAGTGGAGAGGAGCATTAATTACCAGCGGGCAGTGTGCGTACAATAATAGTAGGAAACAGTATAGATGTTTCTATTAAAAAATAATAAATATGTTGACATATATACAAAGAAATAATAACATATAATCAAAGTACATACACACCGGTATACAGTAACACATATACATATATACTATATATGTACATATATACATTAACGTTCCGTGAATATAGAAAGCCGAACCACTTATACAGCGGCGACAGCATTTGACAAATTTTTTTTTATACAACTTAGAATGGCAAACAAGCTGACGGCCCACCTGATGGAAAAGTGGTAACCGTCGCCTATAGACATGAGCAGTACCATGGACATAACAGAGTATACTGTTTCGCCCATGATACACCCCCATGCGTTGCCATTCCCGAGGACTCAGGTGTTATTCCTCTGTACCCTGTAAATTCACGCCATATCCCACCGTTCAAACCGAAACACAGCTATGCAAATACAACTGCTTTCCCTAAGCCGAAACTTACAGACTGGGCGTTCTTCAACGCGCCCTGCTCCTGCGCCGATATGCCATTCTCTGTTTCGTACGCGTACTGGTAGTTGCCCTCCAGACCCACGTCCAACTCCTGCCGCAATATCTTGGCCTCCCTCTCGCCGCCCTGCTGCACTATGTGCGAGACGTCCGCCGCGGCGCACGCCACCGCCAGGCTCAGGATGAGGAGCTTCTGCGGATGGTCAGGATATAGTTAGTGATATGACATGTGTGATCATGCACAATATAGGTACGACTACACACAGGGGGGAAGGGATTGTTAGTAATGCGGACTATCAGTCCCATTGCCAGCAATATACCCTGTCAGGTCGACCTCCACGTGGTCCCCCCTGGAATACGTCGTGCTGATTCCAGTTGTATTTTTTTTTGATGGGTGATAATGGTATGGTAACCCCGCCAGCGCTAACAGGATACGCTGGCGGAGCACCAGTGAAGGGTGATAGATGAGAATGAAAACAGGCCAGTTAGCCCATCATGGTGAATTCATCAGGAATTAACCATGATAGTTTCCAGGGGGTACCGCGAGGAGGTGGACCTGGTTGGGTATATTGCTAGCAATGGGATTCTCAGTCTCCATTACTAACAATCCCTTTCCTCCCGATTCCAGTTGTATTCATCATGATGAACCAACCGACCTGCCTTTTCATCCTCACCTATCATCTCTCACTGGTGCCCCGTCAATGTATACCGATATCGCAGGCGGGGTTACCATTCCATTATCATGCATTAAAAAATACACACACACATGAACACTCATACACTTACACACACACACGCACACGTACACTGGCGCGCGTGACTAAGAGCATGCGCGTACGCACACTTACACTCAAGTACGCACATTTACGTTGTCTCATACCCTCGTGCATACACACGCACATGCACACAAATACCAGCTTTTGGAAATCGCTTATAAATATCTTATAATCATGTTTATTCAAAACAGAGATTATTACTAAACAAACAAACAGACAGAATATACTATTACGCAAACCGTAATGACGCGTTGCGGCACATTTGTCAGTAAGTAACCTGACAGTGCGTTTAAAGGGCATGAGCGGTAGCGGAAGCGTAAGCGGTTATTATGAGGTTACTGGCTGAGACGGTGAACGTTCCTTTGTCTCATGTCCGCCACCTATTGAGACAGGTTTTTTTCCTATCGGAATAAAATTTTACCCTATCTTTCAAGATGGAGCGAATAATAGCACCCGTGTGGGACGTGGGCCCCACGCTGGGAAACACAGAATTACCTATACGCTCCGCCTGTCGCTTCGCTCATGGCCATGGTGTTGCCCTAACGCGTAATGACACCCAAATGTCAACAGTGCTAGTGAGACCTGCGACCCAAGGCCTCGTTAGAAAGGACGCTCTCGGAGCATAGTTAACGCTCCAAGAGTTTGTACTAATATCGGTCAAGCGATCCCGTCCTAGTAGATCTACTGGGGGGGGGAGAGAGTATTGTTTTTTTAATGGATGATAATGAAATGGTAACCCCACCTGCGCTACCGGTATACACGGGCGGGGCACCAGTGAGGGGTGATAGGTGAGAATGAAAAGGCAGGTCAGTTAGCCCATCCTGACGAATTCAACTAGAATTAACCACGATGGTTTCCAGAAGGAACCGCGCGGAGGTATATTGTTAGTAATGGGGCTATTTGACCCCATTACTAACAATCCCTTTCCCCCCTCGGAGGGGGGGGGGGTATTAGTAATGCGGACTACCATTCCCATTGGTAGCAATTTACCACTGTCAGATCGACCTCCACGCGTTCCCCTGCTGAATTATAGGTATATTCGTCACGATGGGTTAACTGACCTGCCTTTTCATCCTCACCTATCATCCCTCACTAGTGCCCCGTAGGGGGAGAAGGGATTGTAAGTAATAAGGGTTAGTAGCCCTATTGCTAACAATATACTCTGTCAGGTCGACCTCCCCGCGGTTTCCCCTGGAAACCATCGTGACTAATTTATCGTTGAATTCGTCACGATTGGCTAACTGACCTGCATTCATCCTCACCTATCACCCCTCACTGGTGCCCCGCCGGTGTATACCGATAGCGCGGGTGGGGTTACCATTTCATTATCACACATTAAAATAACCCGACTTTTTTTATATAGACGTGAGTTTGTTTGTTTGTTGCCTTATAACGCTTTAACAAATCACTATAAAATTTGATAAACACGTACTGTATGTGTGATCATTTCTTGTAATTGTTTGTATCTATAATAAGTTTACTATTGTAATTTTATGGAGGGAACAATAAAGAGTATCTATCCATCTGTACGAGATAGAGAAGGAGATATTACACTTTACGTCATCAGGAATGGCAACGCATGGTGGGTATCATGGGCGAAACAGTATACTCTGTTATGTCCACGGTACTGCTCGTGTCTATAGGCGACGGTTACCACTTTCCATCAGGTGGGCCGTCAGCTCGTTTGCTGTTCTAAGTTGTATAAAAAAAACTTTTGTTCCTTATAAGTAAACATGTCCCGGTTACACGGACGGAGTCGCGAGTTATTTTTTTAAATATTTCGTATTTATATTTCCGACACATACATACAAACATACACTTATAATATTATAATTAGTAAATCACAAATAACATTAAAAACACAAAACACAGAAAAAAAAAACAATATTTTTGAATTCTGTTCTACCAAAAAAAAACCCATGGACTTCAATTAAAAACTTAATTATTTTTATTTTAAAACTAAATTACGGGACCGATTTTGATAAAATTTCTACGTGAACAATCTGTAATTATGTCCTTTCAGATAAAAAAAGAATTTTGCGAATCGGTTTAAAAATAACGGAGTTATGAGGTAACAAACGTGAGATAAAGTACAGCCGAGTTGAGAAGCCCCTTCTTTAGAAGGTCGGTCGAAAATGCCTTGACCAATGCTTGATCAAGTACTTACAGCAAATTACAGAAGAATACATTTAGATGATGGTGACGGTGATGATGATGACATTTAGATATTTTTAACCGACATCAAAAAAGGAAGCCCTCAATTTGGGCGTATTGTTTTTGGGTTTCACCTCACAACTCCGTCCTTTATATACCGATATGAAAAACTGTTTTTTAACCGAAAGTACGTACTTACAGATTAGTCCCGTATGAGTTTCATCGAAATCATTTCAGCAGTTTGGTTTTTTAAACCAAAACAACCGATTAGTACAGAATTGAAGTCGATTTTTTCTTCGTAAAACGAAATCTGTTGTTCTGTTATTCCCATCAGATTTATCTGTCGATATCACACAAATATATGTTTTTTTTTTATTGTATCATATTTTTTTTATACAACTTAGAATGGCAAACTGACGGCCCACCTGATGGAAAGTGGTAACCGTCGCCTACAGACATGAGCAGTACCGTGGACATAACAAAGTATACTGTTCCGCCCATGATACCTCCCATACGTTGCCATTCCTGAGGACTCAGGTGTTATTCCTCTGTACCCTGTAAATTCACGCCATATCCCACCCTTCAAACCGTAACACAGCCATGCAAACACAACTGCTTTATCACACTAGTATTGATTTATCACTATATTCACTCACCATGTTGTTTTATTGCAATACGACTGCGCGCCCGTCGCCCGCCCGCCGTTTATATAGAGATGATGCGCACGCGCACCGCGAGGTCACAATATTTTTATTCAAATTTATCACAGGTCGGGGATTTCGTGTTTTTATCCGACCGGCCACAAACGGAGGGTATTTATTTATTTATTTACTAGTGATCCGACCTGACTTCTCTTCTATCTACTCATCATCACGGTCTCCCTACCCTTGAATGTGAATGTGAATTTAAAAAAGACACTATTTTCCGCGCTTAGCCTCTCATTTGGGCCGTTGTGCGTATGAGTCGTGGTTAATACAGCCAATCTAGCTCCGCCCAGTACAGAAGCTTCCTGGGATCTTCACAGGCCTCACGGAGCGACCTCACCGTTCCGAGAATTTCTAAACGTTGATTGGCCACAGCCTCACATTCCAGGATTACGTGAGCAGCCGTTTGTTCGGCGTCGAAACAGCCTCGACGTAGAGGGCTGTCTGTGGCTCCTATTGTGTATAAATGTTTGTTTAATGGACAATGGCCCGCTATTGTCTCCCTACCCTTAATCCAATTATTATTTGTGGTCGACGTAATATGATTTTATCCATATTACAAAAAGATTTGGCTTATAGTTTTACGACCGGCCGCCTGCCTGACGTCAACCCTTTTTGGGAATGCATTTATTGGTGGTTTCCGCCACCTACGATATGGAGGAAAGGATTGAGGAAAAAAGGAAGGGAACGTTGGAAATGGTTAGAGGAAATCGGTAAATGAGAGGAATAAGGGACTTGTGTCTACTTCCATCTACTCATAGATAGATTTTTAAAAATCAATATATTTTTACCCTTAAATTAAGGGGAGATTTTGCCTCACTCTGTGTGTTCTACCGCTTGTACAACGGATTGTTCTCAGAGGAATTGTTCAATATGATGCCCACAGCGACTTTCTACCATCGTACGTCTCGCCATCGACAGGGAGTTCACACTCATACCCTACAGCCTAGATGGTCGCGTACAACGCGGTTTCAGACATGTTTCCTCCCACGAACACTCAGGTTATGGAATGAGCTCCCTGCCGAGGTTTTCCCAAGAGACTACAGCATGGGGTTCTTCAAAAGGGAGCTAAAGAGACTTGTTCAGGGTCGGCAACGCGCGCGTAATACCTCTGGTGTTGCAGACGTTCATAGGCTACGGTGATCGCTTACCATCAGGTGAGCAGTATGCTTGTTTGCCACCTCAGTGGTATAAAAAAAATATATAATAAAAAAAGTTTATAGCATTTTATATGTGATTCTTTGTCCTCCGCTGTTATCTTACCAGCGAATGTTTATAAATAATCTACAGTTTGACAACCAGTGCCCACCGCTGTTATCTTACCAGCGAATGTTTATAAGTAACCTACAGTTTGACAACCACTGTCCTCCGTTGTTAATTGATTATCAAGTGTGTTTTGAAGTGGCCGACAGTTTGACAACCACTATTCCCCGATGTTAGCTGACCAGCGAGCGTATTTCGGAGTGGACTATAGTTTGACCACCACTGATTCCCCATTATTAACTGACCAACGGGTGTATATCGAAGTGACCTATAGTTTGACGACCACTGCCCTCGGTCGGGTCAAACGCAGTTAAGATTACATCAGTACCGGTCGCTGTGTGCGCGGACGCATCCTTGGCATTTGTAGCGACAGTGGTCTAATGCTGGCTGCACACTTGATATGGCTTTTTTTTTTATTTTTTTAATGGCTGAAAATAAAATTGTAACTATAATTATAGACATGCAAGACATAAGACACACTTTGTACAAAAGTCGATTGCTTGGGTACCTCTGTCCCATTCGTGTTTCTACCGTGAAGCATTTGTGTTTGCATGGCTGTGTTTCGGTTTGAAGGGTGCGATATGGCGGTGAATTTACAGGGTACACAGAAATAACACCTGAGTCCTCAGGAATGGCAACGCACGGGGGTATCATGGGCGAAACAGTATACTCTGTTATGTCCATGGTACTGCTCATGTCTATAGGCGACGGTTACCACTTTCCATCAAATGGACCGTCAGCTTGTTTGACATTCTAAGTTGTATAAAACAGACAAGATTGATAGCTTAAAAACGTGTTACAACATGAATGAGATGAATTCTTATGGAAAAGAGCTCAGCAAAGTTTACTTGTGGCACCTCAGTCGGTGTGTCAGCTCTTTTAGTTATAGCATATTGCGTATCTATTTTTTTCTATAAATCCTATTGTTTTAAATACATCATTGGAATGCTTATTTATATTCCGAGCATGATTTTGTTAAAGTCAGTTTTTTTGTTGATTCTATCAAAATATCCTGTTTGTATTCAAATTCAAATTCAAATTCAAAAATCATTTATTCATGTAGGACATTTTAGCCGCTTATGAACGTCAAATTTTTACATTATAATATGATAATCTTTACGCCTCTATAGTTTAGTATGTTGCTCTGTGGTCCCAAACTCGAGTCTGATCCCCTTATTTCGGGGGCGAAAGGGATTGCTAGTAATGGGGGTCTTACTGTCCTATTGCTAGCAATACGCTCTATCAGGTCGCCCTTTCACACTGTTCTCCCTGGAACCCATCGTGGTTAATTCTTGTTGAGTTCGTCCGACCGATGGGCTAACTGACCTGCCTTTTCATTCTCACCTATCACCTCTCACTGGTGTCGATACCGCAGGCATTATATATATATATATATATATATATATATATAGTTAGTATAGCCAGTAGTTGCCACGTTTGGCAAACGGATTGGCGACTGCAATTAGACTTTTGTTGATGTTTTAGGAGGGACGCTACTGCCTATGCCCCTTGACTCAAAATTTTTTAGTTGTTTAAAATTATTAATTGGAAAATATGAGTAAATTCATTTTACAAATAAACATGCATGTGTTATTTGAAATGGCGGCCATTTTGAATTATTTTAAATACATACACAGATATGAATTCAAAGTATTCAGTAAAAAGAAGCATCTTTATGGACTCTTTGTCTGGATGTTTGATACATTAAATATTTGACACCAGAGGGAGACTCTGTACAAAAGTCGTTTGCTTGGACACCTCTGTCCTATTCGTGTTTCTACCGTGAAGCAGAAAACCTAACTGCGGTTGCTAATCCGCCTGCCAAGTGTGGTAACTACTGGTAAAATACTCCGATGGTAAACTGCTATGAGGAACGCTCCCGTTCCTTATGTCAGTCTATGGGGAAGATCTATGTTTAGCAATGGACATATAACAGCTGAAATTATGATATTAATATCATAATTTCAGCTGTATATATATATATATATATATATATATATATATATATATATATATATATATATATATATATTATGTAAAACATGACCCATAAGCGTGCAGCGATGACGACCGGTCCGCTGGGTCGTGCAGTGAGTCACGGGTTCGACACTGGACGTTGCATAATGCTTGTCGGGCTGTTTTTGGTAGTTTCTGTTCTTAACACATCTTATGTACAGACATCCTGTTTTATATCGTCATTATCAGCATACCAGTCGTTGTCTGTCCACTGTTGGGCATAGGTTTCTCCCTATAGAGTGGGTTTGCTAGTAGTTGCCACGTTTGACAGGCGGATCAGCAACGGCTGTTAGGTTTTTGGAGATGTTTCGAGAGGGACGCTGCTATCCATCCCTTGCCCTCCCTTAGTCGGCTCTTACAATACTCACGGGAAAGGAAAGGATGCTCCATTCTAAGTCGTGAAGTTAGGCTTTGGAGATGTTTTAAGGGGGACGCTGCTGCTCATCCCTCGTCCTCCCTTAGTCGCCTTTTACAATACTCACGGGAAAGGAAGGGATAGCCCGTTTTAAATCGTGAAGTCAGGCTTTGGAGATGTTTTAAGAAGGACGCTGCTGCCCATCCCTTGCTCCCGCTTAATAGCTTCTTACGACAACCATGGGAAAGGAAGGGGTGGCCTATTCTATGCCGGGACCACAACACTACATATTTTTTGTTGTTTTTTTTTTATACAACTTAGAATGGCAAACAAGCTGACGGCCCACCCGATGGAAAATGGTAACCGTCGCCTATAGACATGAGCAGTACCGTGGACATAACAGAGTATACTGTTTCGCCCATGATACACCCCATGCGTTGCCATTCCCGAGGACTCAGGTGTTATTCCTCCGTACCCAGTAAATTCACGTCATCTTGTGGTAAACAATCTTTAATTATGAATAATACTTATATTTGGCAATGTTATGACATATACGATCGCATGCACGCATCTGTCCGTCTGTCTGTCAGCGGTGGCGTAACAAATTTCGCGAAAGGTGTCCCTTTTAAACGATTGCAATACGCCAGTGTAATTGTGTTGTACTCTTTACTAGCTGTAACCCGTGGCTCCGCCCGCATGAGTTTTATTATTATATATTTCGTAATTGTACTATATTATATAGGTATATACCTACCAGGCGGTATTTTTTTTAATAGATGAAAATGGAATGGTAACCCCGCCCGCGCTATCGGTATACACCGGCGGGGCACCAGTGAGGGATGATAGGTGAGGATGAAGCGGGTCAGTTAGCCCATCGTGACGAATTCAACAAGAATTGTACACGATGGTTTCCAGGGTGAACCACGTGAAGGTCGACTTAATAGGGCATGTTGCTAGCAATGGGGCTGTCAAACTCCATTGCTAGCAATCCCTTTCCCCCCCGTTTGTATTGTTATTTGTGTGCTGTAAGTAATGCAAATAAATTATAAATAATAATCTATCTATCTATTTGTAATTCAGAAGGACAAAGTCGCGGGAAAGGACTATCTTAATTGTAAAATACTTGACGGTGATGATGATATTTTGACGTGTATGTATGTATACAATAATTTTTTTGTATACCACTGAGGTGGCAAACAAGCATACGGCCCACCTGATGGTAAGCGGTCACCGTAGCCTGTGAACGCCTGCCATACCAGAGGTATTTTTTTTAATGGGTGATAATGGAATGGTAACCCCGCCTGCGCTATCGGTATACACTAATGGGGCACCAGGGAGCGATGATAGGTGACGATAGAAGCAGGTCAGTTAGCCTATCGTGACGAATTCCGCTAGAATTAACCACGACGGTTTCCAGGAGGAACCGCGTGGAGGTCGA